ACGTCTATATGTTTTGCTATCAAGTCCAAAAGAGGGCTTGAGATCTCCTGGAGTTGGAGTCACAGATGTGAACCATCTAACAGAGGTGCTGGAAACCAAATTCCTGTTATCTGTAAGAGCAGGAAGTGCTTCTAGCCACTGAACATCTCTCCAGTCCTGACGATGGGTACTCTTCAGTGTCTTCACTGAATTATACTAATTAATATGCATTCTCTACTCAAGGAGAGAAATGGGACTTTTAAAGATTATCATTCAGTAGAGAAAGGTTCAGGTCATTTGTTCTCATTTTTCCAGGGTACTGATACATGAGCAATGACTTTGTATGAAACAAAGAGGCAAGTTTCACTCTTTCCCTTTGGGAAGGTCCCTGCAGCATACAGATATTGTGCCCAGTGCACTCTGTTAACCCATCCCTTCCTTTGGGAACAGTTGTTTGAAACTAGAAGAGGAAGAAAGGAAGAGACAGGAAAGGAGGGAATGGAGGAAGAGAGCAAAAGAAAATTGCACTGTCACAAAAAGATTTGAGCTTCCCCCTACCCCCTCTGACCTCGTAATTAACTGGTTGGTGCAGCTGGAGGGATGGCTCCTGGTGAGTTGTAACTTGTTGGGTCCCAGTCCTCTGGAATCTGAACTAGCTCAGTAGAGGAGGAAAGCACAGTTCTCTACAGCCCCTTCTCTTCTGTCTTGTTTGAATTCTCTACTCAGAAGGGTCTGAGAGAGGCTTAAAGGTTTTATTGTTCTCCTCCCTACCCCAGGGATGGTACAGAGACTCTGGGAAGAACTTGCTTGAAGCCTGCTTCTCCTCAATGCTGACTCAGGGCCAGCTACTCAGAAGCCTTGAGGGAAAGTGGAAAATGGACTAAGAAACGAAGGAGGGACCAGGGTCCTGCAGAGCCAACTGCAGTCTGTATGGACCTGCCAAGGAATGGAGTCTTTTTGTCTTCCAAGGCCGTGTGCCTACATGGCCTGGAGGGAAGAGCTGGGCTTCCAATGAGATCCTTGTATTCAGGTCCCGATTTCTTCCTAAAATCTACGGCTACTGTACAGCTCTAAGTCTCGGTTTCCTTATCCATCAGGTGGGCAGAATAATGATACCAACTCCTTAAGAGAGCCTCTCAGTGCAGCTCCAGCATAGGAGCATTTCTGTTACTCCTGTTCTTCTTGAAAACCCTGTGACTGTATTGATGGACAGGGCATGTGTGCCTTCTTGACCCACTCAAAGTTGAGCTGTATATAGACTTTGGTTCCAGATTAGTGAAAATTGGAAAATGGAAGCACTGTGTCTGGTGAACCAGAGGAGGGGGAGGTCCCTGAAAAGCTGCCTGAAGGTTGTCATATATAGATCAGATGACCCTGTGGATGCTCTGGCTAATATTTCTTCTGGACCAGGAACTGCTCCTCTGCTTAGTTAGTCAGTCACACCTGTCACCATTATCATCACTCCAGGGCAGTGTCGGCTAGATGAGCTTCGAAAGTTGGGAAGGAACAGAGAGGTTCTTCAAAGTCACACAACTTCCCTCTGGCGTGAGTGTTTCTCTCTGCACCCCTCAACTATTTTTCTTGAGAGCTTACCAGGGACCAGCACACTCTGTAATACTTCACAGCAATCCTGCAGGTGAGAAATGCTGTGCCACTTTTGTAACAGTGCATCGGAGACACATACCTAAGAAGAGGAAGCTTATAAATATGCTGAGGAGGGCTGGAATAATGAACTTCGGAATTCCATAAGTTGAGTTCTTCATGATAAGCAAAAAGAGCCATTTCCATGTGGATTATTTTGCATAAATCTTAACGATTTTACTACATTTTTTATTTGTTTATGTGTATATTTGCATAGGCACACATGTACCACGATATTTATGTTGAGATTAGGGGCTAGCTTTTTGGAGTTGGTTCTCTCCTACCATGTGACTTCAAGGGGTCAAACCTAAGTTATCAGGTCTGATGGCAAATGCCCTTTCCTGCTGAGCCATCTCTCAGGTCCTGTTTTGCAGAAATCTTAATATCAGTCAAGGACAATTATTCTCTTATGTCTGTGAGCATTATGGTGCAGAAAGGGAAAGGCCATAGTTCTCTTGATCATCTTCCTTAGATCTAGCTATCACTCACAAAGTGGTCTCATGGGTAGAGTTCATCTTGCTTCAACAGTAACCTTTAGTTTACTGATAAGAAAGCCCCATAGTCTTAGGGTTCTCCTGCCTGATATAAGTGTCCCATAGAATCTGTGTCTTCCAGCAGTTCACAAACTCATTAAGATCTGAGACGGTCTTATCTATCTAATGTCTACACTACCTTATCTAATCACTCAGAAAATGCCTTCTAGAGCAAATAAAAACAGCTAGCATTTATCATTTGCTTGCTGCATGCACGTGGTGTAGAATATATGATATGCATGCACCTATGGGACCCTCATAACAACATAGCTTGGCAGATGGAGAAACGGAAGCCTGGAGTTGATGCTGAGTCATTTGGAAGTATGAGCAAGCTGACCTTCTTAGAAAAGTACATGGCTCTTTCCTCCTTTATCCTTGTGCTGTGAGATCACTCTCATCACACTCTTTCCCCTTGTTGGACAAGTGGAAGGTTGTGAAGCTATGGGAGCTCAGGCAGAGTCAGTTGGCAGCAGAGCTTGGGACACAAGGATGTTTTCTGCACATAGACTCTGAGTGTCTTCTTCAAAAGCTTTTGGTAGCACCTCCCCACCCCTCTCCTAAGCCTCCAGTTTCCGGAGGTGTCTTCCTCCGCACCTCCTTCCTGAGGGTAGAATTTTCCAAATGGCCATCTTGGAGCAAGCCCTCAGAAGGACTAGTTACATGTTTTTCCTTCTTGTCCAATCTGCAGGCCTGCCTTTGGCCAGCTCCCCTTTGCTTTCTCTCCTCATCTGCATTTGGGCTATGAAGTCTTTCCTTTCCCCCAGGTAGCTCCAGAGCCCAGAGAATTAGGGTAGTCACTTTGTCTTGCAAGAAGGTGTGTTGTCTCTGGGGCAGTTCATTAATTTGTTCCTTTTCCTTCACCCTCTCTTTCTCGTCTTCTTTCTCTATCTAGCCTTTTCCCTAACCTCCAAGTATCAGTTAGGAACTCCTGAGAGATAGTGTTTTAGTTTCCTTTTGCGGGTGTAATAAGTCACCACAAACATCTTCTTACTGTGTGAGAAGTCAGAAGTGAAAGGAATCTGAAATTAAGATTTCAGCAAGGATTGTTCATTCTGGAGGTTCAGGGAGGAGAAGTAAGTCTCACTCGGTAGCCCAGGCTGGCTTTGACCTAGTGGCAATCCTCCTACTTTAACATCACATTCTCGCTGCCATGGTAAGCCTAGTGGAGCTTGCAAAGAACTCTCCAGGAGAGTTTCTTCTCCGCTAGCAAGTATCTACTGCATTTTATAAAATCTGACAGGGGTGTGTGTGGGCTTGTGAGTCTTGTAGGTCACACGAGCTTCCTTTATCTTGGGTGCCTCCATTCTATAGGAAGGGACGCTTAATTCAGACGCCATAGTTGTACATAGTTAGTGTGAGTAGGAGAGCTAGAGGGAGTGGTGGTGTGCATCTTTTGAGACTGGGACCTTGCAGTTTTCTTTTGTTATCTTTCGTGTACTCTGTCTGCAGACAAGGTACCAGGTCTCAGGATGTTCCATGGAGAGGTTCACAGAAGGGGCTGAGGTCCCCTACTGATCAGCAGCGTCGTCCCCCAAGTCACATATTGCAGCACCTTCGGTCCAACTTTGTGAGAGATCCAGAGTCCAAACTAGCCAGCTAGGGTACTTGCCAATTTCTAGTCTTGAGATAATAAATGTTTGTCTTTTGGTTTTAGTTGCTAAGTATTGAAATGATTTGTTTTGTACCTATAGTTGGCTGATACAAAAGCAAAGATCTAGAAGTCTAGAGAGAGTTTGTTCTGAACTCTGGCTTTACCCATGGGGTTGCTAATTAAGCTTTGATCCTCTATCACACACATTCCATTCCATCCAGTTAGCCTCTGTAGGTTTCCAGACTCCTGAGCCACTTCCCACAGGGAACATTAGGGATCATTGCATGGTTTTATTTGGCTCCGAAATCACTGGTGGCCATAAATGACTCTTTGGAGCCCAAACTCCGTCTTTGTCATTCCCCTCTCCTTGCCCCATCCACATTTCTCATGATGTCTGGCAGACCCTTCAAGCCTGCTCAGACCAAGTGGCTCCCTGATATTGCAGTCTCTTTTTGGTTCTCAGTCTTCCTTACTCTCCCCTCTTCTGATGCAAAGATCTGCTTGGTGACCAGGAGCCAATGATTGATGCTTTTATGTGTTATACCTTGGTTTTTTACAACAAGTCTTTTTATTTTATAGATAAGGAAACTAAGGTTACATGTCTTGTTCAAAGTCCCAGGGGAAGCAAGTTGTAGATTCTGCCCTTGGTCCCCTACTCAACTTCTTACTTTGAGTTCAGTGTTTTTCCACTACACCATGTTGCATCTGACTCAAGTTTCTGTGGAATTTTACAGTGCAGAATGCTCCTGCTCATTTATAATTGTTACTGAGCCTCACAACAACTCAATGAGACAGAGGGAGCATGAATTGCCCATTCCATTTTACAGATGGGAAGCCTGAAATGAGAAAGAGGATTCCCCTCTGATTGTCAACAGTCAGGGTCAGGATTCCCAGCCATGGTCTGTTTCTGGACCCACCAATCTTCCCTGACCTTCTTTTTTGAATGTTGTCCCAAAGCAAGTATAGATTTTTGAGAGATGGATACCAAGCGTGCTGTGCTTAATGAGTAATTATTTATTGGCAGTACTGGACATGAAACCCAGGGTCTTGACCATGATAACAAAGAAGTCTGTCACCCAGTCACACTGTCATCCCAATTTTTAAATGAATTCATTAGTAAATGATACTAAAGGGGGCTCAAATATCTAAGAAATTACTCATGACGATTAAATGAGATTAATTTTTTAAAATTGAAAATAAAGTTAGAGTTATATAATATATTCTGAACATGACTTTCCCTTCCCTGTCTCCTGCAGTTTCTCCACACCTCTCCACCCTTCTGAAAGAATCAAGGTCACATATCTAAGGCTGATGTTCAACCGCCAGTCCTGATAGGAGAGAAAAAATACACGCAAAAATGTGCAACAAGTCAGATCGAAGAAGGGAACTGATGATGGAAAGAGCTGAATTAAGAGGCTGTGGAATGAGCAGTGATGGTAACTTCAAGCCTGACCCACATTTGTTTATGATAAAGGAAGTCCTGCTTATAGTGGACAGGGTGATAAATATGATGGACCATGGATGGCCCAGATAGCCCCACATGATTCAATGTTCAGGGCATGATTGTTACCCAGGAAGAGGGTGGAGCTTTTGTGGCTAGTCTGTGGCTCTTCTTAGTTTGACTTCTTTGCTTGAGCCCTTATGTTCAGCACTTTATTCAGTGACAAGCTTATTCTGGAAGAAGGTTCTCTGAGGGCAAGCAATACATGCTGAGGCTCTTTAGGTTTGTGAGGTCTCTGAGGTCATCCTATTTATGCACTTGTTCTTAGCCTAACACCAAAGCACTAGGCTTGAAACATGCAAGTGCTGAATCAGGGAATGGGTCTTACATACCTGGATAAGCTACATCCCTGCAGGACTTTCCTCTCTCTGTGGGATTCTAGCATTTTCCCATCTTGCACTCACATTCTAGTCCCCACTGCCCTGTGTTGTCGAGGACTCTTTCCACCTTCTTACCCCACTTAAGTTAGATCCACCAGACCAGCTTAAGTGTCCCATCTTTGGTGACCATGGCTGGTCACCCTTAGCTGATGGTCATCCTGATGTGATTTCTGAGTACAACTTTTCATTGAGATTCAGAGTGATTCAGAGATTAAGAGAGAGATAAAAGACTTGGGGACAGGAAATCTGGCAACACGGTGCCCCTGAGGACCAATTCAGTCTTCACCCTGGGGTGTGCAATGGTAAATGATGAAAGTGAAAGATTCTTCCCAAGGTCTTCTGGGTCACAATCCAAAGCCATCTCTCAAGTGGCCTTGGCTCATTTTTCCTAGAAGAGGCTATATTCAGCATGTTGAAGCAGAGAAAGTGATATGAAGAGACAAACCTCTAAATCATTCTGACTAAGCTGGTATTTACATCACACCTTTCTCCCCAAGGGTTTAGACTGCATCAGGAAAATGACATCATCAAGTCCTTACTGTCTCACCTCTGCCTTCCCTCCTAGATCATCCTTTCCTGCTGCCCCATAGGAGGACGAGGTGGTCCTAGTCACAGCATCTGCCATCTGGATTATGCTCCAGGTATAGGTACCGAGCTCTTAGTTGCTGACCTTCCCATTTCTGGTCCTAGTTTCTAGTATCAAGCTCACACAGGAGGATGTCTGTTTCTTTACTGGATGTCATCCATGCCAGAACTCAAGCAGGCCCCACCTTTACTATGAATCTCTATAAAAGAAAACACTTAACTGTTTTTGAAACTTTACCAAAGCTCCAATCTAGAGAAATGGGAGGAGTTCTTGATATCTAACACAACCCACCTTGGCTTAGGTAGGCCCTATTCTTTTTGGTCCTGTTTTAGTTGACACAAAGAACAGGTAACTTGCCCTCATGTCCCCCACTTAAAGGAGTATCTGGAATTTTCCTTTAACTGGTCAAATTTTGTGTTTCTAGGGATTTAACGAAGGGCCTGGTACATGCTAAGTAGTGATTAGCTATTGAGTCATACCCCCAGTCCTGGACAGTTTTTAATTTATTTGTTCTTTGGGAACCTCATGCAACATATATGCATATATATATATGTATATATCTCATATTCCTCCCCACCCAGTCCTCTCAGATCCTCCCCCTCTCCCTGCCCACCCAACTTCATGTTTTTTCTTCCCCTTCCAAAAGTAAACCACCCTCAAACAAAACAAAACTAAAGAGACCAAAAAAAAAAAGTCCACAAAACAAAAGAGCACCCAAACCACAGCAAAATAAAGTACACACACTCAGGAAACCAAACAAAACACAGAGGCAGTTTTGCAGTTTTGCAGTCCACTGCTCCTGAGCAGGAGGCCTGCCCGGGAACGTGGTTGATTTCCCCAGTGTCACTACCCTGGGGAAACTGATTTCCCCTTTCCCAGCAGCTATCAGTAACAGATTGCTTCTTGCTTGGGACAGGACTTGAACCTCATGTTCCCTTCTCCCTGCTAGGCTTCTGTCCGGCTTGAGCATGTGTGGGTCTTGTGCATGCTCTCACGGTTTCCTCCAGTGCATGCGTGTTTCAGCCCTGGTGTGTCTCAAAGGTGCTGCTTCCCGGGGTCTCCCACGTATGGCTCTTACAATCTTTCTGCCTCCTCTTCTACATTGTCTTTAAATTTTAATTAAGAGGTTTTTTTATTTTTTAAAATTCAAATTAGAAACAAGCTTTTTTATGTGTTAATCCCAGTTCCTTCTCCCTCCCCTCCTCCCCTCCACCCCACCAGCCCCCTATCCCATCCCCTTTCTGCTCCCCATGGAAGTGAGGACTTCCATGGGGAAATATTCAGAGCCTGTCATATCATTTGAGCAGAGCCTAGGCCCTCTTCTGTGTGTCTAGGATGAGAGAGCATCCCTCTGTGGAGAATGGGTTCCATTCTTATACTAGGGATAAATACTGATACACTACCAGAGGCCCCATAGACTGCCCAGGCCTTTTAACTGACATCCATGTTCAGGGGGTCAGAACTGGTCCTATGCTGGTTCCCCAGCTATCAGCCTGGGGTCCACAAGCTCCCCCTTGTTCAGGTCAGCTGTTTCTGTGGGTTTCTCCAGCATGGTTTTGACCCTTTTGCTCATCACTCCTCCCTCTCTGCAACTGGATTCCAGGAGTTCAGCTCAGTGTTTAGCTGTGGGTTTCTGCTTCTGCTTCCATCAGCTACTGAATGAAGTCTCTAGGATGGCATATAACGTAGTCATCAATCTCATTATAGGGGAAGGCTATTTAGGGTAACCTCTCCACTATTGATTCGATTGTTAGTTGGGAACATCCTTGTAGATCTCTGGATATTTCCCTAGTGCCAGATTTCTCTTTAAACCTATAATGGTCCCCTCTATTATGGTATCTCTTTTCTTGCTCTCTTTTATTCTTCCCCTGACTCGATCTTCCAGCTCCCTCATGCCCTCCTCTTCTCCCCTTCTCTTTCTCCTAACTCCGTCTCCCTTTCCCCCATGTTCCCAATTAGCTCAGGAGATCTTGTCCCTTTCCCCTTCTCTGGGGGACCACGTCTCTCTTAAGGTCTTCCTTGTTTCCTTGCTTCTCTGGCAGTGTGGATTGTAGGTTGGCAATCTTTTGCTCTATGTCTAAAATCCATATATGAGTGAGTACATACCATGTTTGTCTTTTTGTGACTGGGTTACCTCACTCAGGATGGTTTCTTCTAGTTCCATCCATTAGCCTGTGAATTCCAAGATTTCATTTATTCTTCTGCTAAGTAGTACTCCATTGTATAAATGTACCGCATTTTCTTTATCTTTTCTTCAGTTGAGGGGCATCTAGGTTGCTTCCAGGTTCTAGCTATTACAAATAATGCTACTATGAACATAGTGGAACAGATGTTCTTGTTGTATGAATGTGCCTCTTTTGGGTATATGCCTAAGAGTGGAAATGTTCGATCTTGTGGTACACTGAATCCCATTTTCCTGAGGAAAAGCCATACTGATCTCCAAAGTGGCTGTACAAGTTTGCATTCCCACCTGCAGTGGAGGACTATTTCCATTTCTCTACATCCTCTACAGCCTAAACTGTCATTGGTGTTTTTGATTTTAGTCATTCTGACAGGAGCAAGATGGTATCTCAGAGTTGTTTTGATTTGCATTTCCCTGATGGCTAAGGATGTTGAGCACTTTCTTAAGTGTCTTTCAGCCATTTTAGATTCCTCTATCGAGAATTTCCTATTTAATTCTGTACACACTTTTTAATTGGATTATTTGGTGTTTTGGTGACTAGCTTCTTGACTTTTTTTATATTTTGGAAATCAGCCCTCTGTCAGATGTGGGATTGGTGAATATCTTTTCCCATTCTGTGGACTGCCATTCTGTCTTGTTGACTGTGTCCTTTGTCTTACAGAAGCTTCTCAGTTTCAGGAGGTCCCATTTATTAATTGTCGATCACAGTGTCTGTGCTACTGGTGTTATGTTCAGGAAGTGGTCTCCTGCACCAATTTGTTCAAGGGTACCTCCCATTTTCTCTTCTAAGATGTTCAGTGTGGCTGGATTTATGTTGAGATCTTTGATCCATTTGGACTTAAGTTTTGTACATGGTGATAGATATGGATCTATCTGCAATCTTCTATAAGCCAGCATCCAGTTATGCCAGCACCATTTGTTGAAGATGCTTTCTTTTTTCCATGATATAATTTTAGCTTCTTTGTCAAAAACAGGTGTTTGTTGGTATGCCGGTTAATATCAGTGTTTTCAATTAGATTCCATCGATCTACCTGTCTACTTATGTGCCAATACCAAGTTGTTTTCAGGACTATAGTTCTACAATAGAGCTTGAAGTTAGAGATGGTGTTGCCTCTGGAAGTTCCTTTATCATACAGGGTTGTTTTGGCTCTCCTGGGTCTTTTGTTTTCCAAATAAAGTTGATTATTGTTCTTTCAAGGTCTGTGAAGAGTTGTGCCAGTATTTTGATGGAGATTGCATTGAATCTGTAGATTGCTTTTGGTAAGATTGGCATTTTACTATTTTGATCCTACCTATCCAAGAGCATGGGAGATCTTTCCATTTTCTGGCATCTACTTTAATTTCTTTCTTTAAAAACTCAAAGTTCTTCCTATGCAGGTCTTTCACTTGTTTAGTTAGTGTTACCCCAAGGTATTTTATATTGCTTGTGGAAATTGTAAAGGGTGATATTTCTCTGATTTTTTTCAGCCCATTTATCGTCTATATATAGTAGGCCTACTGAGTTTTTTTTAGTGCATCCTGTCACTTTGCTGAAGGTGTTTATCAGCTCTAGGAGTTCCCTGGTAGTTTTTTGCGTCACTTATATAAGCTATTGTATGACCTGAAAATAGTGAAAGTTTGACTTCTTCTTTTCCAATTTGTATCCCCTTGATCTCTTTTTGTTGTCTTATTGCTCTAGCTAGAACTTCAAGTACAATATTGAAGAGCTATGGAGAGAGAGGCAGCCTTGTCTTGTTCCTGATTTTAGAGGAATCGCATTGAGTTTCTCTTGAGTTAGTTTGATGTTGGATGTTGGTTTACTGTATATTGCTTTTATTATGTTCAGGTGTGTTCCTGTTATCCCTGATCTCTCCAGGACCTTTGCCATGAAGGGGTGCTGGATTTTGTCAAAGGCTTCTTCAGCATCTAGTAAGATGATCATGTGGTTTTTCTTTTGCAGTTTGTTTATATGGTGGATTACATTGATAGATTTTTGTATGTTGAACCGTCCCTGCATCCCTGGAATGAAGCCTCCTTGATCATGGTGAATGGCTTTACTGATGTGTTCTTGGATTCGATTTGTCAGTATTTTGTTGAGTAGTTTTGCATCAATGTTCATGAGGGATATTTATGGTCTATAGTTCTCTTTCTTAGTTGTGTCTTTGTGTGACTTGGGTACCAAGGTAATTGTAGCCTTGTCAAAAGAGTTTGGCAATGACCCTTCTGCTTCTATTGTATGGAATACTTTGAGAAGAATTGGTATAAGCTGTTTTTTGAATTTCTGGTAGAATTCTGCACTGAAGCCATCTGGCCCTGGGCTTTTTTTTTCTCTTTTTTTTTTGGTTGGGAGACTTTTGATGACTGCTCCTAGTTCCTTAGGAGTTATAGATCTATTTAAATTGCTTATCTGTTCTTGGTTTAATTTTGACAAGTGGTATCTATCCAGAAAATTGTCCATTTCCTTTAAATTTTCAAATTTTATGGAGTACAGGTTTTCAAAGTATAACTTAAAGATTCTCTGGATTTCCTCAGTGTACGTTGTTATGTCCCCCTTTTCATTTCTGATTTTGTTAATTTGCATGTTTTCTCTCTGTATTTTGGTTAGTTTGGATAAAGGTTTGTCTATCTTGTTGATTTTCTCGAATAACCAACTCTTTGTTACATTGATTCTTTGTATTGTTTTCCTAGTTAATACTTTATTGATTTCAGACCTCAGTTTGATTATTTCCTGGCATCTATTCCTCCAGGATGAGTTTGCTTCTTTTTGTTCTAGAGCTTTCATTTGTGCTGTTAATTCTCTAGTGTGATTATTAGTTTCTCTATATGGGCACCTGGTGTTCTGAACTTTTCCCTTAGTACTGCTTTCAAAGTGTCCCATAAGTTTGGGTATGTTGTGTCTTCGTTCTCATTGAATTCTAGGAAGTCTTTAACTTCTTTTTTTATTTCTTCTTTGACTCAGGAATGGTGCAATTGCACATTGTTCAATTTCCATGAGGTTGTAGTCTTTCTACAATTTGTGTTGTTGTTTAATTCTAAATTTAAAGCATGGTGGTCTGATAAGATACAGGGAGTTATTACAATTTTTTGTACCTGTTGAGGATTGCTATATTGTTGAGTACGTGGTGGACTTTAGAGAAGGTTCCATGTGGCACTGAGAAGAAGATGTATTCTTTTGTGTTTGGATGGAATGTTCTATAGATGTCTGTTAAACGCAATTAGGTCATAACTTCTGTTAGTTCCTTTGTTTCTTTTTAAGTTTCTGTCTGGTGGTCCTGTCTAGTGGTGAGACTGGGGTGTTTAAGTCTTCCAATATAACTGTGTGAGGTTTTATGTATGATTTGGGTTTTAGTAATGTTTCTTTTATGAATGTGGATGCCTTTGTATTTGGAGCATAGATGTTCAGAATTGAGACTTCATCTTGATGGATTTCTCCTCTGATGAATATGAAATGACCTTCTTCATCTCTTTTGATTGATTTTAGTTTAAAGTCTAATTTGTTAAATATTAGGATTGCTATACCTGCTTGTTTCTTTGATGGTTATGGTAATCTGGACTGGCATCTGTGGTCTCTTAGTATTGGTGGAATATCAATCTAGGACCTTCTGGCTTTCAGAGTTTCCATGGAGAAATCAGATGTAATCTGATAGGTTTGCCTTTATATGTTACTTGGTCTTTTTCCTTTGCTGTTCTCAATATTCTTTCTTTATTCTGTATGTTTGGTGTTTTGATTATCATGAGATGAGGAGAATTTTTTCGTGGTTCACTCTATTTGATATTCTATAAGCGTCTTGCACTTTCTTTGGCATGTCTTTCTTTAGGTAGGGAAAGTTTTCTTCTATGATTTTGTTGAATATGTTTTCTGCACCTTTGGGGTGGGTTTCTTCACCTTTTTCTACATCTATTATTCTTAGGTTTGGTCTTTTCATGGTGTCCCATATTTCCTGGATATTTTGTGTTAGGGATTTGTTGGACTTAAGATTTTCTTTTGTTGATGAATCTATTTCTCCTAGTGTATCTTCAACACCTGAGATTCTCTCTTTCATCTCTTTTTTCTGTTGGTTATGCTTGCATCTGTAGTTCCTGATTGTTTACCCAGCTTTCCTATTTACAGCATTCCCACAGACTGTGTGTTTTTTTTATTGTCTCTATTTCAGCTTTCAAGCCTTGCACTGTTTGAATTGTTTCTTGCAATTTTTGGTTTGCCTTTTCCTCCATTTCTTGACTTTTTTTTGTTTTTTTCTTCCATTTCTTTAAGGATTTTCTCATTACCTCTTTGAGGATCTCTAGCACCTTCATAAAGTTGCTTTTAGAGTCATTCTTTCCTGCTTCATTTGTGTTGGGATGTTCAGGTCTTGCTGGTGTGGAGTCCCTAGACTCTGGAGGAGTCATATTGATCTTTCTGATGTTGATTGTGTTCTTATACTGTCATTTTCTCATCCCTTCTTCCAGTGGGTACTAGTTGGGTCTCTCCCTCTCCTGGTGGGTACATGACCAAGGTTCTCTTCCGGTGGGTGCAAGCAGGTCTAATACTTCGATGGCTCTCCTCTTCTTGTGAGTGGAGGTGGGACTAGTATCATAAAGTTGGCAGACTCTGGATGGGCTGTTCTTCCAGGATGGGTTCCCCTGTGTGCAGGTTCCCCTGGAAGTCAGGTCAGAAACAGGCCCACCTGCTTGCCTCCTCCCATAGGTGGAGTCAGGATTAGTACCACAATGTTGGCAGACTCTGGATGGGCTGATCCACTGGGAGGGGTTCCCCCCTCAGTCCCCAGACCTCAGGAGACTCCAAGTAGGGCACAGAAAGGCATCCAGAAACAGGCTGATGCTTAACTCCTCCCGTGGGTGAAGGTGGGACTAGCACCTTGATGCTGACAGACTCTGGATGGGCTGGTCCACTGAGACAGGTTCCCCCATGTGTAGTCACCAGGCCTCAGGAGGCTCTGACTAAAAGTTTTTTAATTAATGTATTTTACTTTTATGTCTGTGTTTTCTCTGCATGTATGTGTGTACACCACAGGCATACCCTACTTGAAGAAGTCAGAAGAGGGCATTGGATCTCTGAAGATATGGCAGCAGCTGTGAATGTTTGTGAATCACCATATGGTTCTTACTGATGGTTCATCTCTGCAGTCTCATGATTAAGTCTTAAATGGGGTCAAATCTATTTTTACCATTACATTATCGAGATGTGGGGCAGATTCCAACATTTGTAAATATTCAATGGTGTCTTAAAGGAGGTGGAAGACCATTTATACACCAAACTCTTGGTAACTATAAAGCAGGGTTACTATACTTCTTAACTTAAATGAGAGCTAAGGAGTGAATCCTTTATTTATTTGTAGAAGTACCTGAGGAGTTCCTGAGTCAGAATGTGTGGAGAGACCTGGAAGTGGGGAGACCACTCTTTGCATTGCTATGGGCACCTAGATAAGTCACATCCCCAGTAGACTTTTTCTCCATCTGGAAATGAAGGGATATGGTACTCAATTTTTAGGTTTAGTCCAGTTCCAAACACTATAGTTTGAATGCATCTTGTTGAATTAAACAAATGCCATGAAGAGAAGTCATGCCATACAACAGGACTCACATTGGAGGTTTATTGGAGAGGAGAGAGAAGGGGCAGAAAAGGGGGCAGAGAGTTGGGCAGAGATTAGTTCCTGGGGACAAGAGTGGTAGAAGAGAGAAAGAGAGAAAGAGAGAAAGAGAAAAAGAGGGAAGACAAGAGGTGGGCAGGGCCCTTTTAAAAGGGAACATAGTGAACTTGCATAGGTGGTGCTCTTAGTGGCTGCAGCTGAGGGTATATCCTGTCAGAACCCCAAGGGCCAGGCCAGTACAGATGCTTGAATACTAACACATCTTGTTTAAAAAGACTCTATAAGGCACACAAATGACTCAGTCCAGTTCAGTATAGAGCATGGTCAAATGGTTAAAAAAATGTTGAGGCCAGGTGTGCTGGAATTATATGCTTGTAAGACTAGGACTTGAGGCCAGCCAGGTCAACATAGTTAGTCCCAGGGCAGCCTGCTCTACAGACTGAGACACTGTGGTTTAGGATGTCTATTTGTATAAAATTCTACTAAGAAGGGTGAGGAGAGGATGCCTTTACATGCTGGCATATATGGACAGGACAGATCCATTGAGAAGGTGGAACATAGACTATGGGGAGAAGGTCCTGAGCTCATACCTTCCCACCTTTTAGATGAGGAACTTTCTAAGTCATTTGGTTGAGAACTGCCCTTCTCTTAGCCATTGTGTCATTAAATTCACTAGGACATGCTCAGTTTTAACTCATAAAAAATTTCTCCAAAGTTTGTTTAAACCAGGACAAGGGTTCTTAAAGATTATAGAACTGACAAATCCAACTGAGCCAGGGATGGTGGTTCATACCTGCAATCCTAGTATGTGTGAGACAGGAATACTAAGAGTTGGAGGCAGCCTCAGCAACAGTGTGAGACGGGTTTCAGGGGTGGAGGTGAGTGGGGGGTGAGTGGGGGTGTGGGGAGTCCTTAAAACAAACAAATAGTAACCAACCAAACAAACAAAGAAAACAACAACAACCAAGCAAACAAACCCACAGAAGTCCATCTCATGATTGTCTTTAGGAGAGTTTTCATGGGGACTTCAGCTCACTGCTTCTCTGAGCTCTGTTCTCTTCTGGGCATTGGGCTTGGCACACAGTTGGCTTTTCTTACAGACACAAGACGGCTCACGTAAACAACCATGGTTACATGCTTCTTTGTTCTTGTCCACCCTCAAGGCAAACCATCATTTTCCACAAAATGGGCTATTTAATTTGGGGGGCTCCTTATTTTAAAAAGCTAAGGAATTTCAATAAGTTAAAACCAAAATATTAAATTATATGGCCCTACTAACTTCAGAGTTATGTGTAGCTGCACCAGTCACAACCTCTGAAGTTGACCCTTGACCTATATTTCACTTTCATTGGTGTGACTTAACCCCATCACTGCATTTCCCAGGAGAATGCCTTGGGTTATTGTTGGTTCTTGGAACAACTTTTACGGTAAACTGATGGGAGTGTCTGATTGATTTTGACCATTTGGAGCCAGTCTTTGGAGTTGTATGTAGATGGGCCACATTCTACACAATCTACAAGTGTTCCATGGTAAAAACATCTAGGCTGTTCATCCTTGCTGTGCATCAGTGGCTCTGGGAATGGTTTTGGGGTGTATGAGTCAGAGAGGATCTTCCTGCTTGTGGTGATTTGAATGAAAAGAAGTCTCCCACAAGCTCTGGCATTTGAAGATGTGGCCCCCAGTTGGTGGCGCTGTTTGGGAAGGTACAGAACTTTCAGGATGTAGATCTACGCTGGAGGAAGTATGTCACTGGGGATAGGCTTTAAGAGTTTATAGCCCCACCCACTTCCTGCTTACTGTCTCAGCTTCCGGTGTTAAGAGTGAGATCAAAGCTGGGCGCTAGTCATCTGCCTTTGATCCCAGCACTCTGGAGGCAGAGGCAAACAGATCTCTGTAACTTTGAGGCCAGCCTGGTCTACATAGTGAGTTCCAGGACAGCCAGGAGTGGTACACAGAGAAATACTGTCTTGAAAAAAACAAAACAAAGAGTGTGATTAAGCAGGTTCTTGCTCTGACTGCCTGATGCCATGCTTTTCTTGCCACTATGGAGACTGTATTAGGGTTCTCCAGAGGAACAGAACTGATGGAATGAATCTCTCTCTGTAAAAAGAGAATTTATTTGCAGGTAGTCCCAACAATATCTGTTTCCTGTTGGAAAATCCAAGAGTCCAGTACACAAAGCTGGATGCCTTAACTGGTCTTCAGTATATGTAAAAAATCCTGAAGAAATAACTCTAATGCCAGTGAATTGAGATCAAAGGCAAGAAGGCAAAGACGAAAACTTCTTTCTCCTTTACCCTTTATATAGGCTGCCACCAGCAGGTGTGACCCAGATTTAGGGTGTGTCTTCCCATTTCAAATGGTCCAATTAACTAAAAATCATTCCTCACAGGTGTGCTCAATGATTTGAGTTTTTGGTTAATTCATGTGTAGTCAAGCTGACAACCATAATAGCCATTGCGGACTTTCCTCTGGAACCGTAAGCCAAAATAAACACTTTCTCCCCAAAGTTACTTTGATCATGTATTTTATTTGATCATATATTTTATCACAGCAACAAAAAGTAACTAATACATTGGCAAAGAAGTGTTCAAGTGGGCTTCCATCACTGCAGTTTCCACCTTTCCCCTCTGATCCAGGATAACTATGCTACCTCCTGCTGAGCAGTGAAAAGACTGGAATTTACCTTTCCACCTTGCTCCCACTAGCTACACACACACACACACACACACACACACACACACACACACACACACGCACACACCATGATTTTTATTTCTTTTCTTTGATGAAAGATACTCCTGTAGTTCCCATTACATAGAGCTGATGTGATGATGTGACAGCCATCTAGGATTGCATGTGTGAAATGCTTGTCAGTGTTTAGGATACAAAAGGATTGCTGTTAGTTGCTTTTACATGCAGGGGCCTTAGCGTTTATGGGCTTTAACATTTTGAGTGCTTTTTTGCCAATCCTCTTGAGATTTCAAGTGAGCAACAAAAGCATGGAAAGTGAAAGGAGAGGTAAACAAGAGAGGGGAGTTTGGGAAGGCCATGAAAAGACTCTCAAGCTTTGAAAACCAGAAGCTGCGTGATTGGTGTTACATGTGGAGAACGGAACTTCTGGTTCAGACAGTTGTTTTAAAGGAAACATCATTACAGGTCTTTTCTGACATGCAAAAATCACTCAGTCTCCTCCACTGGTCTCTGCCCTTATCATACCCTTCTCTTTCCTCCATCATCCAAATGTCTCTAAGCTCCTCTATGGTCTCCTTATCACTTCCGTGGTACCTTGGCTTCTATGTCCTGGAGAGAATTACCAGTCACCAGTCACTAAGAGTCATGGAGGTAGAGAATGGAGCTAAGTTTCAGCAGGTTCCCAGAACTCAGACTTTCCTCCTACCCAAGACCTAAGCATCCATCACTGCTGACAGTTGCTTGCAAGGGGAGGTCTTTTCCAAGTCTACAAAACCCAGGTGCTCCAAGGGGAGGGCAGCTTGCCTACAGCACATTCACACATCTAGATACTTATCTTGACACGTGCACTTGCTGCCCTGAACACATCTGTACACAAATTAGGCATGCCCATTACAGCCAAATCTGGTTAGTTCAACAGCACATCCCATCATGCCTCTGCCTCTTCGCTCACTGCCACACTAAAAATGAAAGCCTGACTTCCCACCATCTCACAGAAAGTTGCACTGATGGACAATTCCAAAGACTCGGGTCTTCTAGAATGGTTGCCCTTCAACGTCTAGAGAGAGGGAGTAAGTATGTTACTTACTGTGTTCTCCTAATTCCACTTGATGTTCACTAAAACAATCCCAGGGGTGGGTTTATAAATGAGTCTGCTTAAGGGTCACCAAAGGAGACTTGACAGCCTCTTTGGTCCACCCGTTATAGCACTTGCAATCTGGTAGAGTGTTGTAATCAGAAAGATGTTTGGTTTGCTAATGACACTACTATAGTTTCATGTGGCAGAAATACCCAGGAGTGTGATGATGGTCTTACCAAAAATGACCTGTCCTTTTCTAAGCAAGAGGTGGGGCTGAGCTCCAAGCTATGCCAGCTACAGCTCGGTGTTCTTTCTTTGCCAGAATTCAATGGAGGGGAATCAATGGGGCGAAGGGCTCCTGAGCTCAGTGGTTTTTCCAGTCCTACTCTGGATCTAGCTTTTCCAACCCTCATGGTTTTTCTCCCAGTCCTGCAAACTACCTATGTTAGCCCAGAAAGCAATCCCCGTTTCCCAAATAGATTTTGCTTATGTTTGTGTAGTTTGTCTATTATCTCAAGTGTTCAATGTAATTTTTTTTTGGTTTTATGAGACAGGGTTTTTCTGTATTGTTTTGGAGGCTGTTGGTCCAGCCTGGCCTCGAACTCACAGAGATCCGCCTGCCTCTGCCTCCCTAGTGCTGGGATTAAAGGCGTGCACCACCACCGCCCAGCTCTTCAATGTCATTTTTAAAAAGACTTGTAATCAAGGAAATTTACATAAACCTGCGGTCCCTCAATTGTCCCCAGGAAAGAATACTCTTACCTATAGCCTCAACCAATCACTAATATATTAGATTTAGTCTTTTAAAAATATCTGATTTTAAATGGGCAGTAGTGTCTTACACCTTTAATCCCAGCACTCAGGAGGCAGAGGCAGGCAAATCTCTGTGAGTTCGAGGCCAGCAGGTATGGGCTTCTTCATTAGGGTGACAGTAGATACA